GGCACCACCCACACAAGCTGTAAGTTCCCGGTCCCGAGACAGACTCAAAATACCCATTTCCGTCCTGTGGAGCGCCTGTCTGAAGTCAACCCACGAGTGGGGGCTAGACACTGGGTGATACCTACGTAGCCACGACTTGTTTCCGCACAAATGCATGTAGTAGGGAACATTGTTTCAGCCAAGCACTTCTACTCCGAAGCAAATACGGGGGTTTAAAAATAACCTACCTTGTCTGACGTGACGCGCGAGTGAATCTGGGTGTTCTTTTCACCGCGTACGTTGCTACCTTTTCTCTCTTTTTACAAACTCTGAGTCTTTCGATTAGGCTGCTGCCAGCATATTGTAGTCGGTGTAATCTGACGGGCCTTCTATTGGGCCAGACTGTGGAGGGGGCTGCTGGAGAAAAAAAAGCCGACCTGCAAAGTAAATAGAACACAGCAGCGGCAAGGCATGCTGCCGAACGCCGATTGGTCTCTAAGGGCCAGAATGCAAGAGTCCACGCCCGTGCAGTTTTGCCATGCGCCTGCGCGCGCGTGCGTACATACACGCACGCACATTGAATTCTGCTCATCACGAGGTTCGCGTTGGGAAATTGGCCAGCCGGCCACCATAGCGTCTACAAATTTCCCACAAACTAGCGTTTGCAACTCGTTAAATATCATTTTATGGCCACCCAAAGCGGCCCTCATGACTGCCTTTGGAGGGCCGGTCGGGTTTAATAGGTCGACATTGAGGGTATCAAAATGCATTTTTTTATTCGTTTTGCAATTTGATGCGCAGCGAACGATAAAGGTGCATTATCTCCCTCAACTACTCTGTCACCGTCCATAAACTCTCGTTTATTTTGGCCGGCTATGTATCTTTTCGGAGTACTGTATTTTAACTGGGTTGCTCATAGGCTGTCTTGCTGCCTCAGCAAGCGTATTTTCGGTGGAATTTAGGCTGATCGGGACACATAAGAACCAAAAAAATTGAGTCAAGTAAGCGACTGCCCCAGTTTTCAAAAGTGCCTATCAAAGTCAGGATAAATACTGTTCGAACTTGAGAAGAACTAAAATAATAAGTGGCCGTTTACTGAACAAAAAGGCCTGTGTTTAGATATATTTTGGCATAGGAATTCAGTTTGCAGTGGGCAGCCACAACTAAGCAAAGGCGTTCCCCAGGAATGCGCTGGTACAAGCTCACGTCCTTGTTACATGTTTGACTAAAACGGACGAGTCGATTACTTCATTTACAATCATCATACCAGAGAAATGGGATGGTGGCTACTAAACGAAGTAAACTCATAGTGCACATTGGACTTGTTTCTGTTCTTCAAAATTCACTTCAAGTAAACGGCTGCCAGTGGTCCAATTGAATGGAATCCATTATATGTGCCAGGACGCCTGCTGCTCTGAAATCAGCCATCTGAATTTCTGAGCATGACCGATTTTTCCCGTTCCAACAAATGTGTTGAGTCAGTCGACAAATGCAAGGGTATGGGAGTTAAAAATTCTGCCTTAACTGTTGTCATTGGTAAGCCAGTCGGACTCTCTCTCATGCGATCAGTTTCGGAGCTTGATTGCTGCTGTTTCTGGGAATTTACAGGCGACAGTTATCCTCAAGCTGCGAGAAGCGGTTTACCGATATTCTGCAGATGTGGCGTATCAGAGTTCTTAAATTAAAGCTTAAAGCTAAAAGGCATCATGCAAATAACGGCTTCAATGATCGGGTCGTGTCAGGAGAAGTCATTGTTGCAAGATATGTTTCGATAAAAAAAGGGTACCAGAGGATCATTCTATTTAATAGGACAAACTATTAGTGTCCTTCGGCTCGGTCAAATTAGATGTTTTTTCCTTTAACACATAACATTTTTTAAACTAACGGCCGAATGATGAGATATTATAACGAGCATA